TGTTCCCCTCTGTGGATGTACCACAGTCATCTGTTCAAGGACATCTGGATCATTTCCAACCTGGAGCAGTTTTAAAGCTCCTATAAACATTCACATGCAAATCTTTATGTGCATATGTTTCCATTCCTCTATATAAATACCTAAAAAGGGAAATGCTAGGCTATATGATAAGTGTTTGCTGAATGATGGAAGAAACTGCCAAAAACTATTTTCCAAAGTGTCTGTATCATTTTGCATTCCCACAACAGATAAGAATTCCAGCTGTTCCACTGGAACAAAAGTCAGTATTTTCAGTCTTTTTAATTTAGCCTCTCTAATGGGTATGTAGTATTATCTCATTGTGTTTTTAGTCTGCACTTCCCTAATGTTTAATGATGTTGAGCATCTTTTTATATACTTATTTGCCATCATCTATCTTCTTTGATGAAGTCTCTGTTCAAATCTTTTGCCAATTTTTATTGGGGTTTGTTGTTTTTTTTTAAGATTTTATTTATTTATTTGACAGAGAGAGAGAGATCACAAGCAGGCAGAGAGGCAGGCAGAGAGAGAGAGAGGGGGAAGCAGGCTCCCCGCTGAGCAGAGAGCCAGATGCGGGCCTCGATCCCAGGACCCTGAGATCATGACCTGAGCTGAGGGCAGAGGCTTTAACCCACTGAGCCACCCAGGCGCCCTTTATTGGGGTTTTTGTCTTGGGGTTTGCACTATTGAAATATAAGAAGGTTTTATCAGATATATGGGTTTAAGATTTTATTTATTTGAGACAGAGAGGGAGAGAAAACAAGCAGGGGGTGGGCAGAGGAAGAAGGCGAGGGACAAGCACACTCCCTGCTGAGCATGCAGCATGGATACAGGGCTCAGTCCCAGAACCCTGAGATCATGACCTGAACCAAAATCAGATGCTTAACCAACTGAGCCACCCAGGCACCCCATGAGAGATGTGTTTTACAAATATCTTCTCCCAGTTCATGGCTTGTCTTTTGGTATTCTTTTAAAGTTTTAAATCTTGATAAAGTCAAATTTATCAGTTAAGTGTTTTATGCTTCTGATATCTTAAGAAATCTGCCTAACACAGGGTTACAGATATTTTCTCCTCAATTTTCGTCTAGATGCTTTGTTGTTTTAACCCTTATATTTGGGTCTCTGGGCCACTTGGAGTTAATGTTTGTGTATGGTCTGAAGTTGCATGTTTTTCCATGTGGATATCCATTTCTTCCAGCATCATTTGTTGAAAACGCTATCCTTCCCTCCACTGAATTACCTTGTTAAAAATAAGTTGCTGGGGTATTTACAGACTCTCTTACTGTTCAAGTGATCTAAGTGTCTATCTTTACATCAACATCTCCACTGTCTGATTACTATATCTTATGGTAAGTCTTGAAATCAATTTACATCTTCCAACTTTGTTCTTTTTCAAAATTGTTTTATCTACTCTAGGTCCTTTGTATTTCCATATAAATTTTAGAAATCAGTTTACCGATTTCTAAAAATTTCTAACTTGGGATTTTTTATTGGAATTACACTGAATCTTTGCATCAGTTTAAGAAGAATTGACATATTAACAATATTGAGTTTTCCAATTCATGAACATGGTTTATCTCACCATTTATTTGTTTTCATTAATCGCTTTTACTTTCCATAGTAAGAGTTATAAATTTTGCACATATTCATTCAGATTGCACAGATTCATTTAACCCTAAATAATTCATATTTTTGATGTTACTTAGTGGTGTGTTTTGATAATTTAAATTTTTTACTGTTCATTGCTGCTATATACAAATAGTTGATTTTTTTATATTGACCTTGTGTCCTATGACCTTGCTGAATCTACTATTTCTAGTAGCTTTTTTGCTGAATTTCTCAGGATTTTTATACCATCTGCTAAGAAAGAGTTTTACTTCTTCCTTTCAAATCTGTTGACTTTTCTTTCTTTTCTTACCTTATTGCACTGAACAGCAATCCAGTATGATGCCAAATAGAATGAGTATAGACATCCTTGATTTGTTTCCAGTATGAAGGGAAAATCATTCAATCTTTCTCATTAAGTATGATGATAACTGTGGATTTTTCATAAATGCCCTTTATCAAGAAGATCAATTTATACCTTCTATTTCAAATTTGTTGAGTTTTTATTATAAATGGATGTAGAATTTTTTCAAATGCTTTTTCTGCTTCGAAAATTATCATAAGGCTTTAAATTCAGTGAACTACACTGATATTTTAATGTTAATTAGTTTTAAATGTAATTAGTTTTAATGTTAAATTAATCTTGCATTCCTGGGATAAACCCTATTGGTCATGAGATGCATGCACTCATACATACACACATACACAGAGTTTACTAAACTTTTTTAAGGTTTTTGCATCTAAGCTTATGAGAAACATTGATCTGTTTTGTCTTTTTGTTTCTTGAATTTCTTTGTTGGGACCTTTGCAGTCTCGACAAACACAGTGTATAGCACTAAGAATGAAAGGAAATCAGGTTGTGAAAATCACTGTTGCCTAAATAATGCTTCCAACACACACAGTTTCACCAAACACTGTGTTTCCCTGGCTTTGGCTATAATGGGAAGCAATTTAAATTATTTCAAGTCTTTTCAGATATACGTACAATGTGTTTTAAACTTTGCTAAAGATCTTGTCTGCAGCTAAAGAGCCCACTAGACGACAGGATTATATAAAACTGATTTCTGGCAGTGATGCTAGAATGTTTCCCCGCAGCCCTGTGCCTTTGTGCTGGTTAGGCTACAAGTTAAATGTGAGAAAGGTACAGAAATATGACTTACCTATTCATAAAATATTTTTATTCTCCTAAGGTTTTTTTGGAAAACTATAAGCTTATAATAAGCTTAAGCAATAATTTAAAAGATACATAAAAGAGAAAATACTGCCCCCCTTTCTTGTAAATAAGAAAACCAAATATTAACACTGTTGCTTTGCTCTGCTGTAAACTAATGGAGGGCAAGAGCCGTGTCTCTCTCCATTGTTTCCACCAGGAAAGAGTAATATAAACAATTGCAAAGCATCTAGATGGTGCCTGACACATTCTGGGCCCTCGGAAAACATTTATAGGAGGAAGGAAAGTGTTGAATTCACACCTGTGTTACTATGACTCCTTGGCAAGTTTAATACTGACTGCTTTATCTGTGTAAACAAGGGGAAATGTCATTCTCCTTAAAGCCATTCATTGTCTCATGAGCTCACTCTGTTCCTTCCTCCTCCTGTGTCTTTGTTCCTTGAGGCCTCCTTTCTCTATAAATCTGTCTCATCTGGAAGAACTCCCTTCTTCAAGGAGGCTGTCTTCAAACTCTTTCTTAGGATCCAATAACATTTACAAACTCTGACACACTACTTAGCGTTTAATCCACAATGTCTTCTCACCCTTTACTAGCACCCGTCACTGTCCTGGCCATAGAGCTCATTGAATACTTCCGTTGCAACTGGAACAATCTTGCAGGCCAAGGCTCTTCGTGAAGGCCGAAGGAGAGCCTCAAGATTTGTTATGAAAACCCCTGGTGTAAGGAACAACAAACTGGGAAAAACTGGAAAATGACCCTGAAAGCTATTAAATACCAGAATGATTTTTGTTCGGTGAACACATGACTAGGTATTACCCTGCCTGAGGCGGAAGTCAACAGACTTTGGGATTTTCTATTTCTATGGGTCCGTATATGTACTTTACCAACTCAGACCTTTGGAGCTTCAGAGAAAAGGGAGAGAGACTGTTTTGTCCCTATAGTTAGTTTGAAAATAATATCTGAATAGCTCTCACCACGTACTGCATCCACTAATTCTAGGACAAAAGCAGGAAATATACAAGATGAACCTGGAGCATTTTATAGTATCAGAAAGCAAAGCACTCAAAAAACAAAGCAATGGGATTATGTCAAAGGGACACAGGAGCCAACTGAAAGAGCTCCCTATGGCCAAAGCTGGAACAATCTGAGCAATAAAATAATTATAGTACTGGGTTATAGCCCAAAATACAAAATATTTTTTAAAGACCCGTGAGTTCATTCAGATATAATTAGGTGACTGAATAAATGCAGACGAGGGGGAGACAAATTTCCCATAGAGAATTCCAAATAATACTCTGCCTTATCCCTTAAGCGTGGACTACACTTCGTGACTTGCTTCCAAAAAGTACAGTATGAAGAGAGGGAGGAAAGTAACTTTACAGTGGAGAAACCTGGCAAAGACTGCCTTAGCCAAGTAATCGAGATTAACATTCTCAGTGGCAAGTCCTCTTGACAGTATGTACCCTTGATAAATGTGATGAGAGAATGACACATCACGTCTGTGGTCTTCCTCCCAAAAACCCTAACCACAGCCTAACTATGAGGAAAACAGATTCCAACTGAGGCACATTCTGCAGAATATCTGACCAATCCTCAAAACAATCAAGGTCAGGTCACCTGAGTGGCTCAGTCATTAAGCATCTACCTTCGGCTCAGTCATGATTCTGGGGTCATGGGATCGAGCTCCCCATCCAGCTCCTTGCTCAGCGGGAAGCCCACTTCTCCCTTTCCCACTCCCCCTGCTTGTGTTCCCTCTCTCACTGTGTCTCTCTCTGTCAAATAAATAAAATCTTAAAAAAAAAAAAAAACTATCAAAGTCATAGAAAACAAAGGATGTCCAAGAAACTGTCACAACCCATAGGAGTCTAAGGAGACATGACAACTAAATGTAACAGGGATACTGGATACCAGGATACTGGAAGAGATCCTGGGACAGAAAAAGGACATTAAGCAAACTAGTGAAATCCGAATAAAGCAGAGTTCATCTAGTATCAATAACATTTCATTCATTATGACAAATGCACCACATTACCAGAGGTTACCAGAACCGGATGTGGGGTATAGGGAAACCTATGTATTATCCTTTTACTTTTTATGTAAATCTAAAACTCTTCTACAATAAAGGTATACTTAAATATTTCTCAAATACAGTCTGGGCACCAGGTGACTACATGCTTATGTCCACAACTGTGCTTTTAATTACAGGGTGCTGGTGACAGTTTCGTGGGGGCTTTGGCCTTCTACCTGGCTTACTACCCAAATCTGCCCTTGGAAGAAATGCTCAAGAGATCCAATTCCATCGCAGCGGTCAGTGTCCAGTCTGCAGGAACACAGTCATCTTATCCATACAAAAAAGACCTGCCACTAGATCTGTTTTGATTGCTACTAACCCTAAAATAAATGTACCTGGAAATAAAATAGACTGGGGAGAGGGAGGTGGCCTCTTTCAGCCGGCAGCTTACTATAAAAGATCCTCTTCTCCTTTCTTTGCAAATACGTTCATTTCTGAAGTCGCTCTCAGACTTTCATTGACTTTTTTATAATGATGATTTCTTCACTTTTCGTGTATTTGCAAGCGCCAACCAAAATTAAGGAGTCCACGACTGGGACCTGTACAAACATTATGAGGACCAGGAATCAGCCAACTCACTTGCCAACAGATCATGAATGCTGTATGTCCGCCACAGAGCAGGGCTTGTGGACGACAGTGTCTAGAGTCCGAGCAGAGAATGTTAAGCAAAGGAAGGGGGCACGTGAATTGGGCTGTTCAGGCAGTTCCCAAGAGAGACGGTTGATATTCAGGGTTAGTGTTGTAGAAGCTTCTGTTTTGTGAGAGAAGCCAGAAGTTTGGATGTTTATTGAAATTTCTTCAGTGCTTAAGTATCAGCAATTGATTTTTTAAAAATGTAAACACCACCTGTGGGCCACATGCAGGGCTTGTGCTGAAGAGACAAGTCATTTAAGCCAGATTTTAAGCTGTTGGTTTGCTTTTTTTTAAAATGTCGATTCATGTGTGTCACAGGCCCTTTATAGCAGGCTTAGGTAGGACCAGGTGAAGGATTTTTCTTGTAACCCAAAATGACTCTGTGTAGTTTCAACCAAAAAATCGCCAAGATCTCCCCTATTATAGCTTTGAACCAGAGATTGAACAAAAGATGCATGGTAGGCAAGCCATCATTCTTCTACATAAATGCTTTAAATGGTCTAGAATACAAACCAGCAAAACTCAAAATAAAAGCTGACCTTCTTACATTCAGTCAGAAATGTGAGGAGAAAACTGAGTATTTCTGAAAATCTGTAGGAAACAACAGCTTAAATGAGAAAGTATGTCAATCTGGGTAGCGCAGTCTTACCTGAACATTAGGGATTATCGGTGGGATTTCCAAATTGGTTGGCTGTGTGCTGCCATGCCCCAGAAGCCCTACCGCGGCTCTATGGAAATACACTATAGCTCTTCTTTAAAAAAAAAAAAAAAAAAAAAAAAAGGAAATCTAGAAGATAAAGGGGGTCCAAAGCATTCCTAGAAACTCCCAGCTACTGCTTCAGTGACTAGAGTTTCAAAATATGGACCTATGTCATTTTTCCTAATTATATAAGCACAAAACAAAAGTTCTGATGGTTTCTTTTGTGTTCAAAGGCTGGCCCCCTTCTTATTCCTGTTCACCATTACCGTCTCTGTTATTACATGGGAGTTTTTTCAAGATCACTCTGAAGACTGACTCTGCGTTTCCTATGAGGTACAAAGAGGAGCAGACTGGAAAGTCTTGCACAAGTTTCACTATGGAAACTTTCTTTTATACGAACAATGGTTATTCTTTAGTGCTGTAGTTGTTTTTTATTTCAAAGAGTAGGGGAAAACATCACCAAGAGACAATAACACAGGCTATTTTAATATTTTTTATTAAGGGCTATAAAAATATCCAGAAAGATAAATAAATGTGATGCAATGATATATGTCCTAATATGAAGAACTTTCTTTCGGTACATTGTTTTTCTTCACAATGGCCTTCAAATCACAGGAGGCAGTGATTCCGTGCCATTTCCTCTTCTTTTATAACACGCTGCAGAATTTCTGAATCAGTACCCCGCCCTCAGTCTTCTCATTTATAAATCAAATTCATTTTCAATCCATTGTTTATAGGGAACGTATTTTCTTCTGTTCCACAAAGAGAACTTTTGTTTTCACTGAAAGAGAAAAATGGGTTGTAGCAGAACACTGAAGGTTTCATCACCCATTTTTAAATAAATATACGTATCACACCACAAGCACTCTCCTATCTCTGATTTTACTATTCCTCTGACATGGGGATGGAAGAGATTTACAAACTCAGTTCCTAGAGGCCAGAGAAACCTAGAGAAAATGGGAGGGAAATCAAGGGAAGGCTCCCCAGCCCATCGGTGGTGTCTTTGGTACCCCACAAGGTTATTTCCCACCCAATGTGAAATATCCAAATCAAAAAACAAAACTAGGAACAAAACATGGCAAACACTCAATGTCTGCACCCAGTTAAGGAACACACTTGCAGGCAATGAGCAAGACCAGACTGAGAGCTGGACTCCAGAGAAAAAAAGCAACAAGAACTGAGCAGACCAAGGAAGAAAACGCAGTCTGGCTAGAGGAGTAAATAAATACACATCAAATCATATACTTCCAGAGATGGCATAATATCCGAATACAGATTTTCTAGTACAGTAATAGAATCAAAGTTATAACCAAAATCTCATTATTGAAAATACCATAACAGAGTACACTCTCTGAAACAAAACCAAAAGTACTGATTTGCCTGGGGCGCCTAGATGGCTCAGTCAGTTGAGCATTCAACTCTTGGTTCAGCTCACCTCGTGATCTCAGGGTCAGAGATCAAGCCCCACTTCGGGCTCCTTGCTCAGTCCAAAGTCTGTTCAAGATTCTTTTCCTCTCCCTTCCCCTCTTACCCTCCCCGCTAATGTATGTGTGTGTGTGCACACGCGTGGACACACATGCTCTCTCTCTCTCTCAAATAAATAAATAAAAATAAAATATTTTAAAAGGTACTAATTGCCTGGATGAAAGATCAGAGACCAGGGGCGCCCAGGTGGCTCAGCGGGTAAAGCCTCTGCCTTCAGCTCGGGTCGTGATCTCAGGGTCCTGGGATCAGTGGCATTGGGCTCTCTGTTCAGCGAGGAGCCTGCTTCCCCCTCTCTCTACCTGCCTCTCTGCCTACCTGTGATCTTTCTCTGTCAAATAAATAAGTAAAATCTTAAATTTAAAAAAAAAAAAGGAAGAAAGAAAGAAAAGATCAGAGACTGGATGCTGAGCAGTAAGGTTTTCACTGTTCCTCTGATGCCTTATAGCACTCCCCAATTAAAAAAATAGTAATAGGAAAATTAATTTGGCTTCATGTCATAGAAAAAATAGGGAGGGGCGCCTGGGTGGCTCAGTGGGTTAAAGCCTCTGCCTTCGGCTCAGGTCATGATCCCAGTATCATGGGATCGAGCCCCACATCAGTCTCTCTGCTCCGCAGGGAGCCTGCTTCCTCCTCTCTCTCTGCCTGCCTCTCTGCTTACTTGTGATCTCTGTCAATAAATAAATAAAAAATATGTTTTAAAAATATGGATCCTGGAGTTGAAAAGATTGTGCTTATTAAACCCTGGCTCTACCATTTATATCTGCTGTGAGTCCTTGGAAAAATTTCTCACAATGTTCTGCCTTCAGTTTGCTTCCCTAAGAGCGGATAACTCCAACTCCCTCACAGGGCTGTTGCCAGATATACAGTTGGGTTGAAATGACACACTGCTATCCATAATCATAAACAGAAACTAATTTTCTGTCAAAATATTTGCTGCCTAATTCGTAGAAGAATGAATCTGTCAAGTTCTTTCCTTATATCTAACCTAAATCTATTCTGCTTCAATTAAAGTCTATATTGTCTTGTTTAGTCATCCAAGGAATCAAAACTGACAAGTTTTCATTCTCTTTATCGTTAGCCTTCACATATTTAGCAAAGTTTAGTAAGTTTACGCTCAGCCTTTAATCCTCCTTGGAAATCAGCATCTTGGTTTATATGAGGAAAAGGAGTTTGAAAAGACAGAGGCTGGTTCTAGGCAGATTATATTATGAAATGCTCAAATAATTGGGAACTTCTCTGTGTCCTTACCTGATTTCCTTTATAAAGCAGACTAACAAAACATTACCCTTAAATTAACTCTACTCACTGCAGGAACATCTGCTGGGAGGACTGCCAAGCTATTTGGTACCTTGGGCAATAGGGCAGGCCCCTGGGCAAACATCAGCATGCTAACCTGTGGGGCATTCAGGAGGTGGGCAGAAAGCCAGGCAGTCCACTATCCCAGAACTTTCTCTTCTTCTGAAAAGACAAAGTTGTGCTGTCCAGGCTTAGACTGTTCCTTATCAGAAAAGTTCTAACAGTCTGTTTGAAATTTATATATGAATCTTCTCTCCCACTTTCAACTTAGGAACCGAACTGTTCATGGCTGTGTCCTTTCCCAATCTCAAAACTCAAAATCAATCCGACAAATAATTAGTTCCTAACACCTCTACACTAAGGATGAAAATCCTCATACATTCTCATACTGGAAATATAAAAGGTTATTCAAGTAACATGAATGTTGCACAAGTTCCTAAAAATAAACCCTAAAGGAGCTAAACTCTAGAAAAACAATTACTTTACTGTAAAGTTCATCACTTTGTGTTTTTATCAGCTGATACAAAGAAATCAGAGGGAGAAGAGTTTCACACCAACTCAGTATCATATTGCTGTGGTCTGAAAAAATTTGTGCCCCCCTGCCCCAAATTCATATGGTGAAATCCTAACCCCCAAACACAATGGTATTGGGAGGTGGGGCCTCTGGGAAGTGTTTTGGTCACGAGGGTGTGTTCCTGAGCGGGATTAATGTGCTATAAAGACCTCACAATGCTTGCCTGCCCTTCCACCATGTGAGGACACAAGAGGGCACAGACTACGAACCAGGAAGAAGGCCTTCCCCCAGAAAGCAACCGTGCTGGCACCTTGCCCTTGGGACCTCCTAGGCCCCAGAACTCTGAGAAATAAATTTCTGTTGTTTATAAGCTAATAGTATGTGGTATTTTGTTTTAGCAACCCAAAAGGACCAAGACACATACCTGTCATTCTAATTTTTCTACCATATGAGGTATCATCCTGAAATCCAGACTCCCAGTTATTAGGTACAAACCGGGAATTCCTTTTTTATTATGGTAAAGAATGACCAAAACTGTAACACCATAAAAATAGCAGGGAATTTTATCCCCGTTAAAGAATGGAAATCATCCAATTTTACAACGGGGCTTCTGAGAGCCTTTTTTATATGCCTCTTCCCACTGGTACAGATCTTTTTTTTGAAGGTGATATTTTTATTTCTCTTAGTGATGAACGCAGCATAATGAATGGTTCAATGGTGGTTATGAGACCTTCTGTACCAACTCTGAAGGCAGCTATGAATGTAGCTGTTAGCCAGGATTTGTGCTAATATCCTGCCCAGAAGTCATGCGCTGGTATGTTGGTTTTAGTGTCCCGTGAAACCTCTCATTAATAGGTCCCTATACAGAGTGGTTTAGGGCCAGGCTCTGGAGTCCAACTATCTTGAGTTCAAATCTCTGTAACATATTTTAGCTGTGTGTCCTTGATTAAGATCCTTGGCATCAGATTCGTCATCTGTAGAACAGAGACTGCCTGGAGAGTACAGATGCTTGTGTTCGTGACATCTGAAGATAAGAGGCTTGTGCAGGTGCAAACAAGATAGAACTTTCCATTTTGTCTGACCGTTCACAAACACTAGTCTGTCTCCTTTCTTTCAGGGATCGCTGTCTTTTATTGCCTACACTGTCCTTTTGTTGTTGTTTCCAGGGAGAAAGGACATTCGGTTCCTATTATTCCATCTTGGCCAGAAGTGAGAGTCTATGAGTGCGCATTCTTAGTTAATAAAAAAGGTGATTATGAGGTTAAGTATCCGTCTTTTGTTATATAATGGATTAATTTTGGGTAATAAGACTGCAGTACCAATTCGATTCTGATCACCAACTGGGTATCTTACAATTCGACTCAATTCTGTTCTCTTTTCATGCCTAGCACAGCCATGGCTTATGGTCCCAAGAAGTATCCGAAGCGTGCAGCGGTCCACAGCGCTGGATGCTGGATGAATGACTGCTGTGTTTGCTCCTCATCCATCTGCTGGTCCCCATAAACTGAGAAGAATATCTCCCTCTCATCATTTTCCTAAGGAACAGACTTAAGTACACCCTAACAGGAGATGAAGTAAAGAAGATCTGTATGCAGGGTTTTATTAAGACTGATGGCAAGGTCCGAACTGATGTAACCTATGCTGCGGGTTTTACGGATGTCCTCAGCACTGACAAGCCTGGGGAGAATTTCCGTCTGATGTAGGACACCAAGGGTCACTTTGCTGTTCATCATGTTACACCTGAGGTCAAGGAGCAGTTGTGCAAAGTGAGTTAGATCTCTGTGGGGACAAAAGGAATCCCTCACCTGGCGACCCATGATGCTTGTACCATCTGCTATCCTGATCCCCTCATCAAGGTGAAGGACACCATTCAGACAGATCTGGACACTGCAGAGATGATTGAGGCCATCAAGTTTGACACTGGTCATCTCTGTACGGTGACCAGAGGTGCTAACTGGGAAGAACCACTCTGACCACCGACAGAGACAGACACTCTGGCTCTTTTGATATAGTTCACGTGAAAGATGCCAATACAAGAGCTTTGCCACCAGCTCTCCAACATTTTTGTTATTGGCAAAGGCAACAAACCATCATTTCCTTTCCCCGTGGAAAGGGTATCTGCCTCACCACTGCTTAGGAAAGAGACAAGAGACTGGCAGCCAGAGCAATGGGTAACATGGTCTACATGTGATGTGACTGGAATCTTTGTACTTCAAGATAACACAGCATGATTTTAAAAAGGAGAAGAAGAAAAATCTTGCTACCAGCTACCAGTGATTAGTAACTCAGGAACGGCCAGATGAAGTGACACATTAGGGCAGGTACGGGGAAGGGGCGCACAGCCTCTACGCCGTCTCCCAGCAGGTCACTCTCCCACAGTCACTGCACAGTCACCAACCCAGAAGCTCCAGTACAGTTCTTATTCAGAAGCAAGTATCAAGAGGCTGTTCAGAATCAAGGGCACAAAAATGAAACCAATGGCCTGAAGTTTTAAAACAAATAATTTGTTTACTAGTTTACTTGATATAAATCTGCTCATGAAATCCAAAAACAAAATTGGGCTTCTACCAATAGCAATCAGCTGCTATCTTTTGTATGTAAGCAGGCAACCTGGCCTTGGGAACACTTGTGTCTTTTAGACAAACACTTCTATCAACTGAGACCATTTATATATTTTTTATGATTTTTATTTATTTATTTATTTACTTATCTGACAGAAAGAGCTGGTGAGAGAGAGAGAGAGAGAACAAGCAGGGGGAGCAGCAGGCAGAGGCAGAAGCAGGCTCCCCGCTGAGCAGGGAGCCCAACACAGCCCTGGACCCCAGGACCCTGGGATCATGACCTGAGCTGAAGGCAGATGCTGAACGACTGAGCCACCCAGGCGCCTCTCTACTGAAACCATTTAAAGTTACCGTTTATTATGCCATTTTAGCAGACGGTACAAAATGGAAAATGACACTTCTTGCCTTCCTGCACTAATATATAGATGCCACACTCCTTTAATTCAAATCTGGACCTAACCGCTTGCCACTGTTCCACGATCCCAGGAGAATATTCCCTCCCCATCTGAAGACACTCTTTTCTGTTTCCAGAACAGTCTCACCTATTCTCGTTATATGGCTGGTTTCTTTCCCAGATCTACTCTATCTAAAGGCTAGGCTAAAGGTGGAATCTGCCTCTCCCCACTTTCATACTGTATCTCAGCATCCTGCTTGTGTCCCTCAAAGTACTAAGCAGAACATCATTTTTTCTTTCTTCTTCTCCCTTCCACACCAGACTGCAAGTACCAAGAGTGCAGACACTCAGCCTGAATGTGTCCTGGTGTATCCCGGCACCTGGGACAGCCACTGGCACTACAGTAAATGTTCAATACTCACTTGCTGACTGAACGCTAGAGAGTCAAAGGGCCTACAAAACCGCCAAGACATGTTGAGCGTCAGTCTGGAAAGGGCGGCAGGCCTTGAGAGCATCTGAATTTATTGTGGAGTAATTTCTCTGAATCTTACCAATTGGATCATAATGCAGGAGAGTCAGTTTCTCCCGTAGTCGGCTTCTCTTAGTGTTGAAGGAGTAACCTGTCCCAGCTTGGCTCAGCATTTTCACCAGAATGGTTCTAAGATTTAAAAATAAGCTATTACAAGCTGAAGAAATAGACTAAAATCAGTCATGGGAAGACGGCACATTTTGAGAACTCTGTCTAGTAGTATTAGCTGTGGGATATCATTTAGCCCTAAGAAGGTTCAGTTCTAAGACAGCCTACATTTTCCATAAACCACAATTTCAACGGCTCTGATACCCAAGGTTTGTTTCATTATAGAGTGCCTTGGTAATCAACTAACCAATCAACAAGATGAAACCACATTTTGGGAAAAGACTCAGACACCCACCACTGAGAAGCAGCAGAAGTCAGGAAGGGGGAAAATACAAAAGTCCCGGTAACCCTAGCTGGCCAGTCAGGAAATCGTAAAGACGGCTATCTCAACAGAGCCCTATCTTCCAGAATATGCAACAGGAGTACAATCACAAGAGACAAAACAAAAAGACTGGAACTTTTACATTGCTAACATGTAAAACCTTGCTCTCTTTCGTATTTCGTTGAACTTATAGTCATCCAAAACATAAAGTTCATGTTTTGCCTCACTAGTTCATCATTGCCTTTAATACCTTGTACTGTTACTTTTTCATGTGTCTGGCTTCCCTATGCAGACCAGGCTATTTTATTTCTCATCTAGTTCCAAAAAGAGTTTGTAGCATCTACTGATACACATCTTTGCCTCCCTTTCAATGTCCAGCACAGTGCCTCATACATAAGAGGCACACAATATGTGTTAATTAAGAAAGACAGCAGTCATTCATTCAGAAAGATTTAACAAATACCTATTAAGTGCTTACTCTGTGGAATGCACTAGGGAAAATGAGGAGCTCTGTTAGGCTGCCCCTCCCCGCTCCAGGGACCAACAGAATAGTATGGAGGTGAGTTGTGTATGCGAGCTATATAAGGCAAGACATATTTGATAGATGCTCCAAGGATACAAAGAACATGAAAGGCAGGAAGTACCTCTAAAGCAACCAAAGGCAAGGGAGATTCCTACAGAACCCTGAGGTGGGGAATTCTAACATAAATAACTGGACTGTGGGAAAAGAAAATGAATAAAACCTATATGGGAGAAAACACTAACTTACATGTTTTTCATTAACTTTCATCCAAAAAACCTAGTTTTATGAACTGTGATGTGTCTTGGGTTGTAAGCAAAGGCTGCTTTAGAATGTTCCTTTTTTTTTTTTTTTTTGGAAAAGAATTCTATTTTTAACACAAAAAATCTTACTTCAGTTATTATCTACAAAATTTATTTTGAGATGCCAGTTTGGTATTTACAGTATCTCTGGTATAGCATGGAATCTTTAATCTGTGCTGTTTTTGAAATGCTTATTCCATGAATGCAAAGATTACAAAACTCATTAAAACTGACTCTGTAGTTCAATCAAATCACAGCTTGTTCAGCCAGATCCCTATCCTCAGACAAATGGCCCCCAGTCCTCCCTATGAAGAAGCAGAAATATGGCGGTAATCCAAAGAGAGCATGGGAACCCTGATGGCTTGATTAGGAACAAGACAGCAAGAGTTCCTTTGATTATTTGAACACTCACTTATGTAGGTCAGCTGGGCAGGAGGGGAAATATTTTTTCAAAGAGTTTACAGAGCCAAAACAATTCACCAAGTTAAGTAAGCCTCGAACCAACTTTCAGAAAATCGAGACCAAATGCTTAGTTTAACAACGATGTGTTGCCAACGGCTGGAAAAACAAACCAAACATAAACAAAGTTTAAAAAAAAAAAGAAAACCTTACTTACTTTGACTTGCTCTTGGCAACTTTCTCGCAGAGAGGAAGATTGAAAGAGAAAAGAAAATAGCAACTTATTATCTTTCTTATGCAAAGTTCATATTAATGTCTGTAATAAACAGGTAAGTGATGAAGTATGCAGTGGGTTGTCACTCAGGTAACTACTCCCTAGCTTGCAGAGATCCCGCTAGGATTCTAGAAAGAAGACAAAGATCCAATAAGACCAACACATTTCTGGATGCAATGCTTTGCACAATCTCTCGTCAGCTGGACCGGTTACTTTTCAAATCTCTCTAAGATCTGTTCCACATGTTCCTCTTCTAAGGTGCAAATATTTGCCCTGGAACAAGCCACTGGTTTGACAAGTTAACCCATGCAAACTGCAACCACCACATCAGGTGGAGGAGGGAAACTAACCTAGAAGTTGGCCTGGTGCAGGGAAGAGAGAGGACCTAGGGAGACAGACACTTCTTTCCCAGCCCAACTGTACTGACTTAGGGTAAGTTACTGCCCTTCTCAAGCCATTTCCTTATCTTCAGAGTTTGAAACGAAGTTAACTAAAAATTCTGAGGGTTTTTTTGGTTTGTTTTTTTTTTCCCCCAGTTAGGACGTTCGGGAATTGTGCCACCACATCCGTACGGAGGGCGGGGAAAGCGCCCCATTACTGCTGACCAGACTCGACCACGCTGTCTTGGAACCCACCCGGCCAAGAACTAGCGCCGCAGACCCCCACACGCAACCCGCCCCGCAAGGCGCTGCGCCGCGGGGCATGCCGGACGCTGTAGTCCTGAAGCCTAGGAGAGTCGTAGCCGCAGCCTTCCCGGCCGGCGCGCGCCCCCGGCCCCGCACCGTCCCGACGCCTTCCTCCCGCCCTCGCCGCAGGCCCTGCCGCCGCCTCCAGCCCCACTTACAGGTGACCGCGGACAGGAACATGGTGACAATACGCCCGCAGTCTCCTAAACGGGCCCAGAGTCGCTCAACAAACAACTGCTTCCGGGGCACAGGCCTGTTCCGGAAGAGAACGTCGAGGAGCTGCCTGGAGCCACGCCCCCCAACATAAGCGTCCAGTCCTGTCGCCACCTGTGTGTTGTGTTCGTCCCAGGCCAGGCGTTTTACTTCTGTGGTGCTGGATGTTGGAGTCCCCTTCCCAAGCAAAGAGAGAGTTTAAAGCGCTCAGGTTCACGCCCCAAGCCCTGCGTCTTATTTCTGGGTCAGAGTTAGGCTTTTCCATACTTGTTTCACTAACTAATCGCCATCACCAGCATTAAAGCCGCAAAAACTTTGTGTTTCTCAGCTGCTCCAGGCTCCACGACTCCCCCATATTTCCTTAAAATGTTGCCTTCTTTTGCCTCTCGCCATCCAACTTCACCTGGTTAAGAGCTGCTCTCAGTCCCTTTGGAGTTAGAACCCCCGCCTGAATATCCCCCATTCCTTAGTTACCTGTTGGATTTCTAAGACGGCACCACCTTGTGCATCTATGTTAACTGCATCCCAGCACCTCGTGCCTGTAAAAGGGGCTGAATAACAGATTTCGGGCGCTCACATAACTTGCCTAATGTCACCGAACTAGTCAATGGCAGAGTCAGAATTCCAACTCAGGTCTTGTCTGATGGCCAAGACTCTTGTCTTTCCCACCAGACACTGGGACCTAGTAGTAATCTGCATCTTCAGTTCTTCATATTGCTCTGCAAGGAACCGGGGCTCTTTGAACACCAAGAACTTCATCTGTAACTTCATTTCCCAATAATCAGGACTTTGGAATTTTTTCCTAATCTTTGGTTTTGTCTAGATATTAAATCTTACAACCGTGTGAAATAAAATTCAATCTCATGGATTATCATCACAAAAAGTAATAAAATTATTTAAAATAAAATTTAGCTCTTCAGGACAATATAATTCAATTTTTTTTTTTTAATTAGGACTGTACTTGTCCTTAGTACCTTACAGTTTTTTAACCCTCTAATGATTTTTGGTCCTCTGATAACCTGACTCTAACAAGTGAGTACCCCTAAGTGCCCAAATCCTTCTTTGCATTGTGCAATTCATCTGCTGACAAAGAGTTTTAGGTGTTCAAGAAGGTCAGGTTTCTTATCTAGGAAATTCCTTTAGAGGATATACAAGAAAATTACACAGGACTGGAAGTCAAGAAACATGCATTTTAGCCTTAGTTCTGTCCTTTGGAAAGTCTTTCAACTATTCACACCTCAGTTTCATGCTCAGTGGGGCATTGATTCAGTGGTTCTCATCCCTGATGGTATATCAGAGTCACCTGTGGTCTTTTAAAAATCCATTTGCCAGGGCACCTGGGTGGCTCAGTGGGTTAAGCCGCTGCCTTCGGCTCGGGTCATGATCCCAGAGTCCTGGGATAGAGCCCCGCATTGGGCTCTCTGCTCAGCAGGGAGCCTGCTTACCCCCTCTCTCTGCCTGCCTCTCTGCCTACTATGTGATCTCTGTCTGTCAATTAAATAAATAAACTCTTTAAAAAAAACTTATTTAAAAATCCATTTGCCACCACTGAGGCCCAGAGTCTGAATTTTCCCCAAGTTTTCTATAAAAAAGCATTTTGAACATATCAAAAAGTTGAAAGGATAGTGCAATGAACACGCTATATGCCCAATTCAACAAACGTTGACATTCTGCTATGTAGTCTGAAAAATATATTTTAAAATATATTTTATATATATGGTTTTTTGCTAAGCTGTGTGAAATTAAATTGCAGATATCACAACCCTTCACCCCTACACATTTAAGTAGGTATGTGTCAAGACTAAGATTATAACAATAATAGTATTTTCACTCCCAAAAATTAATAATAGTTTCCTAATATCTAGTCCATACTCAAATTATCTTTTATAGCTGGTTTCTTCAAAACCTGTATCCAGTCAATGGATTAAGACATATCTATCTATCTCTCTCTCTCTCTCTCTCAGAATCTGGCATCCAACTTTTGCCTCCCTCCTTCCTCCTCTCAGTAGAAGCCACTCTGGTGAAGGCCTAATGATCTTTACAGTACCAAGCCCCATGGTCAATTCTTGAGCTTTCTGTTACTCAGCATCAGTCAGTATTATTTTACACAGTGGCTCACTCCTTGAAAAACTTTCTTCACCTGGTGTGCAGGTATCCACTCTCCTCGTTCTTCTCTTTCCTCATCAGCAATCCTTTCTCTGTTTTCACCTCACCCACCTTTCAGTGGAGGCATGCCCTTGCCCATGCCCATGCTCTGTCCTTGGATCTCTTCTCTGTCCACACTCATTCCTTTGGTGGTTACAGCTAGTTTGGGTTTTGAAAAATCTAGGGGTTAAGGATTTCTAAATTTATATCTCCAGTCTCAAACTTTCCTCTGGATTCCACATGGGCATATTTAACTGCCTACTTGACATCACATGTCCAAAATCAATTCCCAAACTTGCTCTGTATCTCTAAGGCTTCCTCTATATCAGTGTGTGGCAATTCCATTTTTTCAGTTGCTCAAGTAAAAAGCCCAGGAGCCAAATTGTTACCTCTTTCTCTCATGCCGTATATGTAAACAATCAATAAATTCTGTCATTCAAATGTCACCTGATCAGTGAAGCCTGGCCACAGAAGGAAAGGAACACACACACACACACACTCCCTATTCTCCTTACCTCACTTTACATTTTCCTACACCACTTCTCACCATTTAATATTTTGTGCGTGTATTTGTTGATTTCCTTATTATCTGTCTTTATCCACCACAATGTAAACTTCCTAAGATAAGGAACTTTGTCTTATTTCCTCACTGCTGTATCCTGGTGCCTAGAACAATGCCTACCACATATATTGACTAGCTGCTGAATGCATAAATGAACGTAAGAGGCATCACACAAATGTTAAATTACTATTAAATATGTTTAAATAGCAAACAATGATAAATGTACTAGTCGTTTCAGTGGATAAACTGTACTAGTGGTTTCAGAGTTCAGAAGAATTTATAAGATTGTGGGGGGCTTTGGGGTTTTGGTGTTTGTTTGTTTTGTTGTTGTTGTTTTTTTTTTTTTTTTTGAGAGACAGAGAGAGTGTGTACACTGAGCAAGGAGGGTCAGAGGGTGTGACAGAATCTTAAGCGGCTCCATGCTCAGCGCAAAGCCTGATGCAGCACTCAATATCACGACCCTGAAATCAGGGCCGAGATCATGACCTGAGCTGAAATCAAGGGCAGGACACTTAACTAAGCCACCCAGCCTCCCCTAAAAGATTGTTTTTAAAAAGAGATAGTAGGGTGGCACTTGGCTGGCTCAGTTGGAAAAGCATGTGACTCTTGATCTTGGGGTTATGAGTTCAAGCCCCACACTAGGTGTAGAGATTAAGTAAATAAATTAAAAATTTGGGGGCGCCTGGGTGGCTTAGTTGTTAAGCATCTGCCTTCAGCTGGGGTCATGATCCCAGGGTCATGGGATCGAATCCCACATTGGGCTCCCTGTTCAGCAGGAAGCCTGCTTCTCCACTCCCCCTGCCTGTGTTCCCTCTCTTATAGTGTCTCTCTCTATCAAATAAATAAATAAAATCTTTAAAATAAAATATTTTTAAATGAGCTATCAGGGTGCCTGGGTGGCTCAGATAGTTGAGCATTGGTCTCTCAATCTCTGCTCAGGTCTTGATCTCACTGTCTTGAGTTTGAGCCCCACACTGGACTTTGCACTAGAGTGAAGCCTACTTAAAAAAACAAAAATAAATAAATGAATGAATAAAAAGAGATAGCATTTGAACTATTTCTTGAAATTCCTGGACGGAGTAGAAAGGAAGTAGTGGCTTTCTAGTCTCATTACTTCAACCTGCATCCACCTGTTATTTACATCTAACACTTTGTTGGCAGTTGGTAAGTGTTAATTACAATGTTTGTTAATACAGATGCGATTCATGATTTGGGTTTTGGGGTGGTTTTGTTTTTTTTTTTTGCCTGAATTTACATAATGAGCCCTCTGTGCCTTATTAAAGTGTAGAATAATTAGAGAATCCCGGCAGCCCAGGTGGAAGGGGTGAAGGCCTTAGGGGAGGGGCGCGCATCTCTGTTATGGGGAGGTGCTGAGTGGGGGAAAGATACAGCTGTTTCACCTGGATTCTCAGCCCAGGAAAGCAGGTGGAGGAGAACATCTATTTATTCTCGCAGAGCTTTAGACATAGTGTCTGTGTTACATCGGTTAATCTTGCATTCCCAGCTCTTAGCACTGGGATTCAGACCCAAGATCTAGAAGCTATCCCCTTCCTCCTCTACTGTTCTGAGAAGTCCCTGACTGCCCATTGTCCGGACCACTATCATACCTATGTCCCACCTGACTTATGGTTGGGAAGTACAGCAACTATTCTTATCTACAGGGTCAGTCACTTGTTCCAGGGCCCTGGGAACATGGGCGGGGTGGGAAGGGAGGCTCGATGGGAGAAGGCCAGGGCCCCCTGCAAAAACTCGGCACCCTCCCAAGCACAGACACCCCCAGGCAGATAAGATGGCTCCACAGTTAGCTCCTTTGCCTCAACAGCTTGGCATTACACCAGAGACTTCCTGAGGGAGCAAGACTAAAAGCTGGCAAGACCTGGGGGCACCAGCTAGGTTCAATCTGTGTGGTGGGTGTCCTCAGGTTGGCATTGAATGGCCTCCATAATCTAGCTTCAGCCTCCTGATTCAGTCCCATCTCTCTCTTCACTGGGGCCTGCTGGGTCATCAGTCCCTTTCTGGATGAAGTCCACTCCCTCTCCCACCCCACGTGTCCCTCCACATATTCCTCTCAGAGCACCTATCATGCTTCCCTGTGCTCCTCACCGTTCTGCTTCCCCGCACTGGCAAGTAAGTCCCTTGAAGGCCAGAGCTTCTGAATCTCCGCACATCATCCTCTAAGCCCCCAGGCAGGAGCTCCTCAGGTGGCTGCCCTACTCGCTTTGCCAAATACGACCTGAGCACCCTCGGGGAACATGACTCCAGCCACCCTCTGCCTCTTCAGTCTTCTCCCCGTGGTCCATCCCAAGACAGGCAGAGTGGGAGGAACTTGGGAAAGAATGGAAGCAAAGGCACAGTGTCTACACACTGGACAGCGAGCATCCTCCTGGGGTTTGAGTGTGTGGATGATGAGTGATGATGATGAGTGATGGAGAGGAGTCAGAAAGGATGCTGGAGCTAGGTCACGAAGGAACCAGGATGTTGTGGTTGGGAGTCAGGATTTTGCTGTGTGGCGGTGGGGAGTTAAGGGGTGTGATCAGACCCCTAGAGTGGCAGGACCTGAAATCACATGGTTTTCCTCGGAAGCTGGGAGAGGTAGGGACTCTCCCATCCCTCCACCCAGAACACTCCCAAGGTCCTCTTCACTTGCAAAGCAGCACTTTCTCTCCTCTGCATATTAATGCCTATTTATTTAGTTAACATATGCATTTGGTATTTCCTTAATAATTGGTAAACTCTTCCTGTTTATCTATTATCTTTGACCAGTCCCCGAGCCTTTTTGGGGGGGGGGGGGGCGGAAGGTGCCATAGACACTTTTGAGCATCTGATAAAAGCTATCGC